ACTACCACTACTACCACTACTACCACTTCCACCACTACTACCACTACCTCCCTACCTACACTACCACTACTACCACTATTACCACTTCTGCTTCTACCACCACCACCACTACCACCACTATCAACGCTACCACTACCTCCGCTATCACCACTACCACCACTACCACTATCACCACTACCACTACCACCACTACCTACACTACCACTACTACGAACACCACCACTACCAAAACCCCTTTGAACTCACATCGCCAATGATACATTTCGGGCTTGGTATGCAGCATAACAGCCTTCTTTGAAATAGCTGTAGACATGCGCAGTTTAGGAAGAGTACATCCCACATGTATTATTGGGCCTTGAGACATGACCTTGGTGCTAAAAGAACCATATTATTGTATCAGAAGGTCCATTCCACTAGTTCGGATGAATTAATAAATACTTTTTCATGAAACGAAAAGAACAGAGACTTCAGCATTCTTGTACCCAAACGTTTCTCACCTAACAAAATTATATAAATGTTGACTATGAGAAGGGTTTTGGGACTAGAATGAACTCAAATATTCTTTACCTAGTTTAGTTGGACTGGCGCTGAAATTGGTATATCTTTGAACATTTTTGGCGAAGCTTTATAATGAGAATAAAATACAATCAATATATCTGTGATATGAAACTTTGAAATTAGGGCTGGTTCGTACGTATGATTAGCAATGCACTGATGAAACAATAATATAAACAAACGTATAACTAATTTGTACTATTTTTAAAAAGCGCAAAATTAAATAAAAAAGCGAAAAAAAAATTTTTTTTCCTTCAATCCTTTTCATGATTTTGTTCTTTAAAAAAATATAGTTATAGGAATTATATTTAGTAATATTTTAAAATTTAATTTATATAACTCATCATAATTGACATGTAAATGTAGAACATTCAAGAACACAGAAAACTTTTCATTAATATCCCACATGGAAAGCCTTAAGTTTCTCGACAAACATGTTTTTAGTTTACAGCATATTTTCACTATTAGTACTCGTTAGAGTATCACTTTGTAATTTTTTTTTTTTTTTTTTTTTTTTTTTTAATTTGAAAGGCTGGAGTCAGTCGCGACTATACGATAGAAACATTAAAAAAACGCGGAGAACGGCATGCATATTTGATGTTAATGTTTTTAATGAATGACCGAAAACTATTAGAGCTTATTGTTTTACAGTGTATTTGAAGTACGTGCAAGAAAACAACAATAAGGGATAAAAATATTATAAGGAATGTGAATAGTAGATTTTTATTATTTAGTGAATGGCGATGAGTATAATTTTCCGTAGGCCAGTGGAGCGGATACGTGGGATTAACAAAACGATTCACATGCTTGCTTCCATTAGTATCAAAAACAACAGGGATTCACATTCCGTATAATCTTTGTTGTCACCTATGGTTT